TCTTTATGACTTACTTTGTTAGTGATGTGAACTTGGGCAGGTCATAACCTCCAAGGACCTTATACTGATCTTAGAAACAAAGACCTGAGAGATTTGGAAGAGAACTGGGTGTAGAAGACGATATTCTCAGTTATCAGCTATTATTTGTTTTAAAAGCTTAACTAGGAAAAAGCAGCCACATGAACTCAGAACAGGGGCAAGGAACATGGCTCAAGGCCACACGTGGTCTCTAGGTCCTCAAAGTGTGGCCCTTTGACTGAAACCAAACTTCATAGAACAGATCTTTTTAATAAGACTTATTCCAAATCTTAGGACATCTCATCAAGATCGGTATTTGAAAATGTGTAACTTTTTTGTTATTATTATTAAAAAAGTTATCATCATTGACATATTCACTAATGAAATAATCATTCTCTTTGGCTAATGCCTTTTCTTGTTTTTTCTTTTCTTTCAGTGTATGTAACATATATGTGTGTGTAGATATACACCTATACACATCTACATACACACACATGTATTTGTCCAGGGTGACTCACACAGCTGCTAAGTGTCTGAGGCTATGTTTGAACTCGGGGCTTTCGGACTCCAGGCCATGGGGTCATGGCACTTCTTTTTAAAGTGCTATACAAACACGAGCTATTATTACCATCAAGTCATCAAACATTACGTTGCATGGGATTTATGGGCCGTGTAATAAAGGTGGACAAAATGTTGTGAACTATTAATAATTTCAGTTGCTTTTAAACATGTCATGAAAAAAAGTATACTTAATTAGCACATAGTTAATGACACATCTTATTTGATCCATTCTAAACAAGCCTATTACCATCAGATATTTCAAACTTTTTTGTATGGAAGAAGGTGTGAATATCATTTTCACCAGAGGGTGTTTTTTTTTTTTATAAAAAGGCCTTTTTATGTCAGAAGTTTATTTTTATTGGTAAAATATTAAATAATATACAGAATTAAAAACTGCACTTACACTTCTGAAAAGAAATAAATCTTGGACAAATTATATGCTTGTTCCTGAGATTCCCTAAATTTATTCCAGTAGCTGTGCACTCAGACAGTACAAACCTTTATAATATAATCCTTTTCACAAAGTATTACAAAGTTTCTGCAGATTCTTTAGTTTTACATACATACAGACACTCACACATGCATATACAACACTCATACACATTTACAGCACACACATACATGTAGAAACCATGTACGCATGTGTATCAAAGTAAAGAAAAATACAAATCCCATATTTCAGTCTGCAGTGATATGATAAAACCATTTAGCAGAGGTCTTCAATAGGATAAAGAACAGGGTGGCTTGTGACATGGCTGCAAAGGCTGTATCTGAGCTTACACAGTAAACCTCATCATCAGAGGTAAATATTGAAGCCTTAAAAATGACACCCAAACTGAAGAATCCTGGCATACAAGGTCTGAGATATGTATTTCTATATATATCCATTTCTATAACTATATCTTATATATATATGTATATATATATATATATATATGTCTATGGTGTACACATACATAGACATAGATATATATAATATATATAAACAATAGGCTTTTCTTTTTTCCAGATTAGTTTGAAAAAATGAGGTTTACTGGTTTGAACTATTTTTTGCTTCTAAAACTCAAAACATCCTAGAAATTTGTCAAGCAATTAGTCTGTAAGATAGTCTAATTACCTTTGGTATTGTTAAAAGAAAATATAAATCTAAAATGGCCAAGACACATGGCTACTGTACAAATGTAGTAAACTGCCTTTAAAAGAAATGCCACAGAATTTTTAATTTTTTACCTAACCATGTATTTACATAAGAGCAGTTTTCTATAGGGAAACAGGTGTAAAAAACACACACACCCAAAACAAAACAAAACAAACAAACAAAAAACCCAGCATACTACATATAAATATGTATGATATGTAAAATAATCCTCACCTAAATTTATGAGAATGAGATTGCTCCAAACAAATTTTTCTGTAGTCAGAGAGATGATATGTATATATATATATATATATATATATATATATATATATATATATTTATATATATATATATATTTAAAAATGTGTTAAGTGCTTTTCTTTACATTTAAAAAAGTTGTTTTAAAAAGAAAAAAAGCATTCCTTAATTTGTAACATTGAACAAGAGTCAAAGTAGGAGAATAAGTTTTAAATTTTAAAATATCAACTTTCAGGCCTATTTATTCCTTTAAAGTCCCACTGATTTAAATGTAAAATTTAGTCTGAATAAATATACTATGGAATTAGGGCTGTGTCTTCCACACTTGATTTTTATAGCCTCTTCACTATTAGGTGCTTTCTCTTAATTTTATCCCTTTTTTTTTGTTCTTTAAAATACTGTAACTTGAAGGTATTGTTGTTAACTAAAGAAAGTGTAGGTCAAAAAAGGGGTAAAAATTGACTCCATTTTTTAAGACTTCTTGGGAAGTATTGCACTTGAACAGAAATAAAATGAAAGGATATTGTGAACTGAATAGCCTAAGTAATCATTCTAAATTTGCAAACAGCATGTTCTGAAAGGTCCAACTATGAAGAGCAAAGTCGGGGTCTAGGGAAATCCCCAACCTGGAAAATCAACAACAATATTTTTAAAGCGTTTTTTTTTCCCAACAGAAAAAGTTAAAGACTTTTTACTTTACAATTTTTAAATTTTTCTATATATCTGCATGAAAACTTTCCAGTGTCTTATAAAACAATTTATATTTGGGGCAGGGAGGAGGGGAAAATACAACCAGCAAGTAAAAACCAACAAAAAAGGCAAGCATACCATAGGTACAATTACATAATTTATGGAGTTATATTTTCAGGTACCCTATTTGTGAAAGTGAAAGTGTTACAAAGACTATGTACCTTAATATTTTTCATTAAATTTACTATTTTCTTTTTTTCTTTTTAATATAAAACTACACTTGAGTACAAAAATATGTAAACAGACTATACAGCCAATGAACAAAAGGGGAAAAAAACCACAGAGATGGAACTAATTGAAAAAAAAATAGGTAGCCTAGTCTTTAAACTGAGGTAAAAGAGACAGAAATAGGGTGAGATTTTACATAATTTAACACAGAGACAATAAAGAGAACTTTGCTACATGGAACAGGAAGTGAATATATTCAAGAGCCAAGAGTGCTTGACAGTTATTTAAATTGTTGATCACAGTTTCAGAATTTTAGCTACTACAAAACAAAACAAAAAAACAAAACCCAAGTCCTTCCCTTGTACAGTGTGTGTATTCAGAACAACAATAATAACAACCAAACAACGAAAAACAAATATCAATTTCCAGTAAGTAATGTCAAATCCTGGTAAGTGCATAGTAGGGGATTCAGTGACCTCTATCCCCGTTCACGAAGCTTTTCTTACTGTGTGTCACTTGAGGTAATCTGAAGGGCCCAATTCACTGCAAGCTGGCTTATCTGTACCTACATGAAGTCATATCTGTACTCTGTGGTGCTTAGCAGAGGGCCTCTCCATTTAATATTTTATTCACAATAAAAAGAAAACCATAGAAAACTAGTCATCCTTGTACCACTCTTTGTATGGGATAAAGATTAATTCACAAATTTATACAGAGAACACACATATACAGTGTTGTATGGGAAAAGTGCCCATAAATAGAATCGTGAACATGTTCCCAGGCAGAAAGTGCATGTGATTACCACAAACTTACAGTACTGCAAGAGAAGTCTAAATGGGCATGAAGAGAATTTTTCTTAAATACCATATGGAAATGTCCATTTTAAATTTCTGTAAGAATAATAAAAATGTATCAGGTCATTTTATTTTGGCCTAACAATACACTATGATGCAGAGGAACACTAGTGTGTCACAGCTTCTTGGTCGTATTTTGTTAGCTTCTTACAATCAGCAGCTCATTTTAAAAAAGCCGTCATATACAAACAAACCTACAGCAGATAAATATATAACCATGATATATCACCCACTGACCTTGTATTTTGGGAAATAACAGTGTGATTGGACTGCTATATTCAGTTTTGTTCAAGGACTGCGAATTACCTGACTTTTAAAGATTATTCTACCGACAATCAGAAGACTGAGGACTCGTGACTAGAATACTAGTCCATTGCTAAGAGTATCAACACAATACTGCATTTTATTTTAACAAAGAATTAAACTAATAAAACCTTATTATTACAGAACTCATTCTTCCTGAAGAAAAAAATCACACAGCACAATATTTCACAGCTAAGTTTTTTTCTCCACCTCAAATCTCATCTGTACAATCTAGTAGGTAGTGGTCATTCTGAAATACCATCAAATCTCATAAGAGATACTCAAAAATGTTTTGAAAGTTATTTTCTTTAGACAGTTGAGCAATAAGTCTCTGCATTTGTAAGCATATGTTACCATAGCAGTTTTGTCCTATTTTTTACAAGGCTGAAATACATGGTGCTCAGTTTTTAAGTGATTTTTAAAAAATATATATTAAAGCTGTCTAGACCGATAATTAGATAACTGACTTTCTAAATGTATTCTGAAAGGCACAAATATAATTAAATTTTAGAAATATTTAATACATTAAATTTCAGTATGTTTAGATTCCAGTTACTACAAAGTTTGATAAATTTGTTGAAATCTAGGGTTTAAAAAACAAAAATACTCAAATATCTATTGAAACTATTAGAAAAAAATACAGAAAAAACCAACATGATTTTTAACTCAATTCTTTTCTTTGGGGTATCTGTTGGAGAGTTTTCTATTTTAGGATCTGCCTCATTCACATAGTTCTTATGAAAAGTCATATAAAAGTAGAGAATTTAGAGCAGAGCAGTATAACCCACAGGAAAAAAAAAAGGTTTTAACTATCAGTTTCACAAATGCTACTCATTCTTTTATCCAAAGAAAACAATCTGTAGTTTTTGAAAATATATTAAATCTTTCTCATGGTAATTATGTTTTGGTTGTAATAGCTGCTAGACATTTTTGTTTGTTTCTTTTGGTACTTTTTTTTTTTTGCTTTTGTCCTGAATACCCCAGGGAGTGATTTAGAGGTGCTGTGAATTAAATAACATCAAAAATTATTTAGAAGGTTATTACATTTTCTCTGGTATAAATTCTGTTTTTCACTTGTAAACAGCAACAGATATTGCATGATTTTCTGAAATAAGTAGCTGAGATACTAATACTCTAGATAAAAGTTGATCAAACTTACTAATGAATTCCTCTCTCTTTTCCACATACCAACAGGGAAATATGGTTCCTCATTTCTTTCCTTTTTTTATGGACTCTCCTTAGGAGGCCAAACTTATTTAAATATTTGGATATGTGTAATAAGCTGCTCTTGCATAAAATCAATTCTATAAGTCAGTGACTGGAACACCTGAACAATTACTACTGATCCTAAAGAGCAGTTGGTGAAAGTTTTGTATGCCAGGAGAAGCTCCTTCAGTGTCTTTTTGTCATAGTCTAGCAAATTAAAAAGAGAAAGAAAATTAAACATCTCAGGAATCAGCCACAATGTTGCTTTTTTTTTTCCATGCATATTTTCCCAACACTGATAACTGCATTTGCATACCAAAAGATTTTTAAAAATTTCTTATCAAAGTCTATTTCCCTCATCCATATCTAAAAAACAATCCAGTGACTGTGACTCATGCTCACCAGCTGCTCTTATGTAGGAGAGACACTCCCTACTTTGCAGCTAGGTATAAATTCTATTCAGAATAAATCCCATTTTCTACCTCAAGAAAACTCTCAACAATTAATTTTTTTTAACAATACAAAATCTCTTTGAATTAGCCTGCTGATGACTTTTACTTATTGACAGCTCAACTCTAATTTTCTTTGTAGAGGAATTTATCACCAGTTGCCATATAGGAAGCAAACAGCAAGGGCTGGGGGGGGGGGGGGGGTGGAACAAAGTAGGTAGCTGCCTATGGTGCAACTTGTGGAGGTGCTCGAGTTGGTGACTCAGGTTTTAATATTACTTTTCATAAATGCCCATTTTTAATGCCAGGAAACCCTACTAAAAACAACATGTATTTGTTTCCATAAGATAAGTTCCATGTGGTACAATGAAACTCAAAGTTTTGCTTAGACTGTAACACACAACAAGGGTGCCATTTTCAAACCTTGCGTCAGGCACAACCAAACTTTCCTTTGTCCTGGCTCTGGCACATTATTTCTCTTCTTAAACAAAAACTAGAATCAAACGAATATAGATCAACTTTTATAAATGTCTGAAATTTTGCCAAAAAAGGAAGTACAGAAAATTGCCCATAATTCTCTTCAGTACATTCTGTGATGTTTCACTGAAATAAACTGTATGTAAACAATGCCTATGATAAAATTTCCTACCTGATTATTTGGTATCTAATTGTCACATCTACATTTAGTCACAACCTTTCACATCTTCTTTATAGAAAATGCCATAATTAAATAGATTCCCATAGCACTACTTCTCTCAAAATATTTTTTACCTACAAAATTTGCAATGACCCTGTCTCTATTTGCCACTGTCTCTACTTAAGCCAATACCGCCTTCATACTGTAGATCCCCATCCATTTAGGCTAAGGATAAAAGTATATGCCTGCAATAGACATATTCTCAAGAACACAAACTGAAAGGAATGGTAAAGTAGAGCATGAGTGATTTGGGAGGCCTCTATAAAATTCTTTGCGGTCATCTGTTTATTCCCAAAACATACATCTGTAGATGATATAATGAACTGACAGAAAAAAAGCAGGAAAATTCACAAGTGGTGTCAGCAGAAATTTCCAAATAACTTAAGCTCTTAGAATGTTAGTTGTTGCCAAAGTGCTTCTTTAAATGCAAATGACCATCATGACAAATATCCCCCAACCTCCACAATACTGTTAACTATTGGTCACTTATCTTCTCCAGAAATATGAAATGGAGAAAAGAAAAACAAAATCAGGAAGAATTGGGAGAAAAACAAGTAATAATTGCTAAATAGATTAATTTTTTCTTTGGTGGCTCATTGTACAAGATCTTACAGCAAAATAAAATTGATGTTCATAATGTACCATGAAGCAAAGAAGAAATTATAGAGCTAACATTCTAATGTGTTTCTCATTCATTTTCTGATGGATACTTTTGGATTAAAAGATAAGTGGTCATTACCAATATATTAGGTTTGTCAAGGTCTGGGGGGGGAGGGGGAGATGAAAAGGGAGCGGTGAATTGTAACCAATTCTTCCTAGTCCTATGTAACTCCATTTGCATGAGCACTTAGGAGCTATCTAGATAAGAAGTAGGAGACAAAATGGAAAATTGAGTTGAGTAATACAGACCAGCTTTTTATATCTCAGCCCTATTTACGTTCAGGTTTCTCTATTCTTGATCATTCTCACATTGTACTACAAAAACAAATGTATCATGTTGCATTGTATGGGATGCACTTCTACAGTACTCATCGATTACTACTTGATGGTATTTCATGTCAAAAATGGCCATCAGGTACAATCTGACCACTATCCAACGCATCCCTTCCTAAACACAGGCTACATGTTCTATCTGCTAAGCGTGTCCCTGTGAAAACAAACAAACAAACAAACAAAAACTTTAATCACTATACCACTCAGCTGTTCCCTTCTAATGCTGTTGGACTGTATTAAATAAAATTAGCACCCTCATAAATACAAAGAACATCTACCTATGCAAAATGTTGATCTATAGTAAGCATAGATAGAGAGGAGGAAAGTAGGGTGTTAAAGGCTTATTGTTCATATCTCAGAGTCTAAGCAACAGGGGAAATAGTTGTTGAAAGGGATTAGGAAATAGGAAGCAAGTGATTTTGGCCTAGAGATCATCTAACTAACAATTCCGTCCCTATATAGAGTCAAAGAAAGGGTGAAAGTGGACTTTATTATGTTCTTAATCTGCAGCCCAACCAAAATACTGCAAAGCATTTTCCTTTTTCCTCAACTTAAATGTGGTAAATATCAACACTGGGGGGAAAAAATTCAAGAGAAAATAGCCACAGTTGGCAAGAGTACTTTTTCCTTTTGATTGCTTTTTTAAAAAAATAACCACATTCAGTTCAAACTGATCATTGACCTTTGGAGTTTTATAGAATAGAAAGAGACAGTAGGCAAAGTCTTAAAAGACCTGACTATGGAGCAGAATACTGGGTAGTTGCAGATTTAACAAACTAATACACTATCAGAAAAGAAGTTTCTAGTGTTCTCCCAACTGTCAGCCTTAATAGTGGATGCTGCTGACTGGTTTAACACTGTTGCTGATAAGATGACAATTGAATATACATCTTAAAAAAAGAAAAACAAGTATATTCTACTATCAGGACACAGTTTATAACTTAATTTTTTTTTTCAAAGAGCAACAGAACCCCTCCAGAAAACTACTGCCTTGTAGCCACTCCTAAGCTGTATTACTCTGAAAACCAGGTAAAAATGCTAATCATAAAACATGTTAAAAGTAAGGCTGTCAGGGCGTCTACAAAATGCCAGTCCCCAAAACCATGGAAAAACAGCAAGTCTAAAAAGGTGCTTCTTTAGTTTAGAAAAATAAGGTAGCAGGCCTTCAAAAGTACTGTAGGTGGTCCTAACCACTTGTAATATGAAACTGCTAAGTGGTACAATGTTCTATAGATTGTATTAGAAATTCCAGAAAGGGAAGTAAACACAGAACCCATGACCATAGCTCATCCTAGGAAGTATCATTGAAAAGAACATTGTGTTTGATTTATGATCAAAGAACTTTACAGAAAAACAATTTATATTTTGAAAATGCTTCTTCTTTAGAGAGTAAAAATTCCTTATGCTCTTTTTTTTACTATTGTTAAGACAAAGTCTTACTATGAAAACTCTCCACTTTCCTGTCCAATATCACCATCCTAAAAATGAATGGCAAATCAGCCTCTTTTAGCTGAACCTAATGTGAGCTGAGTGGTTTTTCAAAGCATTATATAACTTACAGCCAACCATTGCAAAAGTGAACTGCCCTTCAATTCCCACAAAATAAGCCAAGTGACACAAGACAAAAAAAACCAATTACCCCATCCCTTCCCTCCCTTTTTTCCTTCCTGATAGTTAGGTAGAGCAAATGAGACTGGGTCCATAAAATAAAAATTATTGACTGTAGTAATTTTTCTTTTTCTTTTCTTTTTTTAAAAAGGTTAAGTTAATGTCTGAGGAAGTGGGATTGTAAGTGCAGTATTTCTTCATGTGCAGTTCTTTACTTCATAAGGGTCCCCTTTAGAAAGAAAAAGGCCTAGTGGAATGTGTGCTCCCCTCGTACAATGTGTGATGAGAACTCATAACGGTCCTGGCTTCGGTAGCCACAGATGTTGCATTCTAATGGGTCCCGATAACCATGACAACCCATGTGAATTGTGTACATAACATGGTCTAGGAATAGGACTCTGCAGTGCTCACACTTGAAGGCTCTAATTTGTTCTCCTTCTCCATTGAAGACCTTGTAGATGTCCTTCAGAGAGCCCTTAGAAGCCTTTGTGGCGTCCAAAGCCTTGACATCCTCCTTCATGTAAGTTGGGCTTTGCTTCCTCTTGGGATTTAAGGCAGGGTTTCCTTGGTAGGACTGGCGATCATCATGGCTGCTTTCTGAGTCAGTAGAATCCAGGCAGCTATGGCTGGGAGAGGCCTCTCTTTCCTGGGGTCGACTCTTTGGTCTGATTAAAGAAATGGGGCCATCCATGTTGTTCTCATGACTGTCAGAGGTTTCCCTGCTAACGGGCCTTTCTATCCTATTAGGATGATAGACCTGAGTATAAGCTGAGCTGATGACCGGGGCGACCTCTGCGATTGTGTTTGGTGTGTGCTGCATCAGAGGGTGAAGTGCTTCAGCTCCAAGGTAGGTGATTGCGTTGTTGATGGCTTGGTCCATCATGTGAGACTGCATCAGCTCAGCCTCTTTCTCATATGTTAAGTTCATATCAAAGTGAATATCTGGGTAGCCAAATCTCATGAGCTTCTCTCCTAAATAACGATGATGACAACAACAAAAACAAAAACAAAAAACCAAAATTTGTAAAAGAAAAAAAATTTCTTAATTGATTGAAAGGAGGCAAATTCAACACAACTCTCTAATTTCAAAAAATATTTTATCTTCCATTCTTCAATTAACTCTGCTGAAACGAACAACTTCTATATTACGTGAGACTGACACAAAAGCATCGTTAGTTACAAAAATTTCAATAATCATTTGTGTTTAGAGTAATGTCCCTTTTAAGGATGCATTTTGCACTGATATTGATAGCAATAACCAGAAGAACAGCTAGCTTTACCCCATCATTTTCAATTTTCAATATCATTTAATATTTTAAAAAATCAGGTTGTCGGGGCAGCTAGGTGGCACAGTGGAAAGAGCACCGGCCCTGAAGTCAGGAGGACCTGAGTTCAAATCTGGCCTCAAACCAAACACTTAACACTTACTAGCTCTGTGACCCTGGACAAGTCACTTAATCCCAACTGCCTAAAAAACAAACAAACAAAAAAATCAGGTTGTCATTAAGAAAAACATAGATTCAATATGCATTGTGAGTAAATATTCAAACAAACCTGGGCAAATAAAAGTAATCACAAAGAAAAAAAGAACTCAATGAAGTAGCTAAATAAAATTAATCTTCATGAATTAAAAGGAAGAAAGAAGAGGTTATCACGAGGGAAAACAATCACCACCATCACAACAGAGTCTTCCTTGTGCAGAACTCAGAACTAGATTAAACCAGCCACAAATGAGCAGATGCCTGCAGGTCCATAGAGTCATTTGCACTTTTGGCACCTTTCCAGAGTAGGTCTAATGATTGTATCACATCAGTGACAACTATGTTTATGTTTTTGATAAGATTTTATTTAATATCAATTTATTAATAATATTTCAATAGATTATTTTTGCAACATTTAATAATACTTTTAAAGTTCTTCCCTATTTTCTCAGTAATAATAGGATCCTGTTAGCGTTCCTAGGGGTCTAAGGTCCTGTAGCCTCAAGACCACATGTGACCTCTAGGTCTTCAAGTGCGGCCCTTAGACAAAATGGAACAGCTCAGAAAATCTTTTCAAGGAAAAGGACATGTTGCTGGCCACGATTTCATTATTTTCTGACCCTGTGGTATGTTCTGAGCCTAAAACTTGACCAAGAAGCTTATGGTGCTTTGTATATTGCAGGGAGTGGCTAGGTGGTGTAGTGGATAGAGCACTGGGCCTGCAGTCTGGAAGAACTGAGTTCAAATTTGGCCTCAAAAACTAATTAGCTGTATGACCCTGGGAAAGTCACTTAACTCTGTTTGCCTCAGTTTCCTCATCTGTCAAATGAGCTTATGGTGCTTTGTATATTGTAAGAGCTTAACAAATGTTTATTGAATAAATGAAGAAATAGATTTGCAGAAATGACCTGATGGGTAACTCAAAGTCCAGAGACAAACACACTAGAGGGCAACACACAAAATAGATAAATAGGGAAAACTGCCCAGGTCAGAATGCTTTCCAGACAAGAAAGTCTCATCTGGTTCTACTGCTTTCTCTCCTGTCAACTCACTTAGCAATATGCTCATAGTATAAGGGCTAGATTAGGGAATATCGATACAGAGAACTTGACTATTACTACTTCCATCATATGGAAGAGAGGACGAGGCCCTTGGAAGGGGCTCTGGCTGCTGCCTTCTGCTCTCCCAGATGAACTTCCCAGGATCCATTCCCAGCCTCCCTGGAAGTGATAACAACATCGGTGAGGAAAGAGGAATCCTTGGTCCCACTCCTGGCATGACTGTATTAGGACAGCTATTCCTATGGAAAGGATGTATTTAAATCAGGGACTGCCTATAGAACTCTAATAATGTCATTATCAAAAAATAAAAAAGTGACATCTATTAAATGAGAATAAAAGAATATGGCTAATTATAATTTAATTGGCAACTCTGAAAAAGACATACTGACATCTCTGTATTGATTTAAAAGCATTATTTTTCCTATACTTTGATATAGTTATTCAGAACCATAAATGTGATAGGGTGTATATAAGTACACTGTAACTTTGTTTTTCACATTTGGAAAATCTCTATATCAATTTGCATATGTATGCATATGGCTTTGTATACATGTCTATGTAAGTATATAGATAGTGATTTTATATATATACATATATACATACATATGTACACACACATTTGTATAATTGTACATATGGATTTGAAATGTTTTATAAAATGCAAAAGAACATCTATGCTTAACTTGAAGGATAATTTCTCTCTCTCAATGATCACTAGCTTTGGACAATTCATTTCATCTTTTAAAAAATCAGGCATCAAACAGATTGTGGTCTATAACCTAGGCTCCTCAGAGGTTTGGTGACCACAAAAAGCAGAACCACTGGATAGGTAATGCATACATATTTGCACTTTTTCTAATATGTCTGACCTTCTAAATGTCAGTATACTGTTTTGGAAAGATGCCATATTGCTGGAATTTTAGTCTAGAGAACCATATACTAGAAGACTACAAAAGCATTCTTCCCAAGAAGGCTTATAAAAATTAACCCTTTTTTTTACTCCTAGGGAAACAACTTTAGAGTGGGGTTTAAAGGTCAAGAAAATTAAAGAAAAAATGCCAAATTACAGCATGACTTTCAACTAATGTTATGTCTGTGCCAAAGGCTTCAAAAAATCCAAGGTATGAGTCATAAGATCTATTCATTTTACGTATGTATCTATAGTTAAGGAGTTAAGAAGCTGGAGGACAAAGAGGAAACATGTTTCTATGGCTAAGGAATATCATTTGAAGTATAAACTAATAAAAAAAGTAAAAAAAAGTTCTTAAGAAATTCAACGATCATTTTTGTAAAATATATTGTAACAAATAAAGAACTTGTTCCTTTTATTGTTTTCTTAGGAAAGTGATCACATTCGATTGGCACTATGCTCTCCCTAAGCTGAAAACACTGTGTAGAGTAGTTATCAACAAATTCAAAACCCAGAAAAGAAAGTAAAATATTGAAACAGTTGCTGGTGAATAGGCATAGCTGTCCATGTGGTCACAACCTGGAACTTTCCTCAGTGCTCCTTCCCTTTTCCCTCTGACTTAAAGAGAAAGGAAGAAATATGTGAGTGGATGAGTATGTGGGAGTTAAGAACTCTTACACTACGACTATTTCTTATTTTTTCTTACTTTAAAATAAAAAAAACTCAGGAAATCTGAGCCCTTACTTTAAGTGTCAAGACAACAATGGAGAAACTGAAGCTAGATTCTGTTCTATAGTAGGCTGGGAAGAAAAAAAAAAACTCAAGCTGGAAGGCAGGGGTGATTGCTGTGGAAAGGGAAGAAGTCCACTAAGTCTGAAGACTAGAAGAAACGAACTGACAGGCCTGGAATGGAGGTTACAAAAGGAACAAGCCACAGACTCCCACAAATCCTTACTCCCATTGCTAGGATTTTCCATTTCTCTTTCCATTCCCTCCTACTGTTCATTCCTGCCTTTGAACAAGCCACCAGAATCTTGGAAGTCAGGGAAATATGGCTCCTCACCGGGATGGTGAGAAAGACTGAACTAGAATTATCCATTCCAGTAAAAAATAGGGGGACTACCAGCAGTCTCCCACACATGGCTTTTCATCTCCAACCTTAGTGCCTTTGCACAGGAAGTCTCCAGTGCCGGGAATACAGTATTTCCTCCACCTTATAATCCAAAGTTTGCTTCAAAGTGCAATTCAGGAGGCACTTCTTTCCTGATTTTTCCAGTAGTTAGTATGCTCTCTCTCTCAACTCCTAAGTGTTTACTTACCTGCATCTGATAGATTCTATAACCAAAGTACAATGTAAGCTACCTGAGGGGCAGGGACTATTTTGTTTCTCTGTATCCTTGGCATCTAATACAGTACATAATAAAGGCCTAATACTGCTTCATCAAACTGAAATAAGAGGGAAAATCATGGATTCTGTTTGTAGGGAGACGGATATGAGAGAGACCATCCTAACAGTTCCTTTCACATAATCAGAGCTTAATAACTGATACATGAATAAATTAATATGAATGTATTCACAGCATTTCAAATTAGAATTCTGAATGTATTTTTTCCATATAGAGAGTAAATATAGTCTATTTTAAATACTAGATTCACTACTCAAAGCTTGTGTTATTAGTTATATGTTTAGGGGCAAGTAATTTGTCTAGAGCCTCAGTTTTCTTGACTATAAGTAGAAAGAATACCTCTACCACTCACAGGATTATTGTTAGGATCAGATGAAAAAAGAGTTGTAAAATATTTTGTCACGGTACAAGCTACATAAACATCAGCTATTACTCATATAGAAAAATGGTTCTGTATGGTGACTCAGTTATAGAATCCTACTTGTATAAGTACTACTTTTAGATATATTCTAAGTCCAACAGGCTTCAGAAAGACTGGCATGGGTACCTAACCACCATTTGTATTACTTCCAGGAAAAAAAAACGGGTTCCAAGTACCTAACAGCAGACTGGGAAGTCAGTGTTTGGAGCAAAACCATTTTATACACTGAGGACTACAAAGGTAAACAATGGAAACGAGCAAGTGTCAGGTTGAGACAGGTATCTGACTAAACACAAAAGAGCTAGTTAATATAAGAAAGATATGGTACTTGATGAGAATTATCCAAAGAATACTGCTGAAGCACTCATGGTCTCTGCCACAGTGGAGATGAGTTTATCTTTTTCAAGGGAGTTCATAACCTCTCCTGCATTAACAACTATTCTTAAATATCAACATCTAATTCATGACCTCAACAGCACTTCAATTCATAATCTCTCCCTCGTAGGAATACTTCATATTTAATCATATACTCTCTACCTCATAACTTCTCTTGTGTAATTGCATTTTAGTATTACTTAATTTTTCACATGTGTACATCTTGTATTTCAAAGTAAAGTCTAAGATTTTAGAGGGCAGATATGTAATGATGTACTTCTCTACACCCAGGTAATATCCAAATAGTATTATAAATATAGTAAACATTAAACATCTGTTAAATGAATTTTATGAATGAAGTGCCATGGATTTTGGAAGGACTTCCATAGCGTGAGTCAACTCAATTTCAAAATAGATTTTCTGGTATAGCTTTTCTTTGTATATCTTTATCTATGTCCATATCCATATAATATTCTATATTGAATGGGGGTAAATATGAAATCTAGTCTTAGAACTAGAGAAATTTGAGTCAGAAATCTAATATTTTCATCATATATTCTAGATATGTCATACATAGATGTTATGTCAAGCCTAGATATTTAGTTATAGATATAGACATTAAACTAGCTAAGTATGACTCTTTAATAATGATCTGAATCAATATCTTCCCTTCCCTCCCTCACATTCCACTTCAGATTATTTTATACTGTAATAAACTGGATTCTTAAATGTGTAGAAAGAAAGGACTCTGCAGATTTAGAAAAAGGTGAAGGAATTTGGCTTTTCCAAATAGGAGTTATCCATGAAAAATGTTTTTGTCTCTTATTGCTTCAGGGACCATGTTAGAACATCTTTCACTTTTCTCCAAGGAGTTCAAAATATAAATTTGGAGTTTAAATAGTTAAGGCAAGATATATTTTTAGATACTATAAAATTCTCCTTTTTGAAATGGTATACAACTTTTATTTCCATGACCTTCATTTATTTACAATGACCTATGGATCCATATACAAGATACTTAGGAAGTAAACTCCTAAGGAATGGACAATTTTCACATTAAATTAACAGTAATAGTTTCACTGATGTAAAAATTAGGCTTTCATAGAGAAAGAGGGAAAAATGATTCAACTTTAAATGAAACTAGGAAAATGCACCATCAAACTGACAAGATATGACATAGACTTTTTTAGGAGTGTTAGTCCACCCTGGATTCTCTTATCTCCAGGAAACAATGGTGGTGGGAATCCTTTTCCTTTAAAGATACAGTTTTTATTTACATTTTAAGTAGGCCTCTCTCTCTCTCTCTTTTCAGTTTCATTTAGTTAACAGAACAAAATCTGCACCTGCCAAGTGGCTGACTTTGGGTACAGATACTGTACCCAAGTACAATACCCAGATCTTTAAGGGATTCCATTAAATTTAGATTAAGCAGGGCAGACAAAAAGTATAGATGCAGACTATTTTCCTCCTTCTGCACTAATATAAACAGTGAAAAGGTACTGTGACAGGAATTGGGGATATGCCTCATTATTAGATTCACCATTAGCATATATATAAGGCAAAAGATTTTATGATAATCATTCGTGTGTGTAAAAGACATTTAGTTATAAAACAATTTGCTTCTATGGAGGACATGTATAGGTATGATATATCTTGGACTTATATTAATGCATTAGATTTCAGACCCAGTCTTCTCCAAGTTTGAAGACCGGATCCTGTACTTGTTCTCCATTTAATGTAAAATACTGCAAAACAAGATCTTTATAAAGCATGGGGGTTGAAACCAGGATTTCAAAGAACATTCAATTCCCTCGTACAGGTTCAGAAAACACTTGGTTTCTCACTTCTAGTTTTTACATATACTACTTAGCATTTTATTATCCTAGGTTACTGCTCAAATGTCATTTTACTTGAGAGAAATTTATTACTTTAGTCATACCTTTAGTTACTTCATACTACTCACATACCTCATTTTGTTGAGAGGTTATTTCTTTAATGGATTTGAATCTACTTAAAACTGAAAAAAATAATAGTTTACACTTGCACATTAAGATTAATTTATTATTTCTAAATATCACTATTGTAAAAAGTATTTGTCAAGCTTACCCACAAATTTCTGTGGGGTGGAGCTTTTACGTTTTCCCATATTCCCTGTCAGCTTCTCTATGACAGCAGGTCTCTCAAAAGGCACCAGAGAAATATTGTTGTCCATCACAGGCTCTTGCTCCTTACAATCTTCCATAGGAGGTACTACATAAAACCAAAGAATTACATCAGATAAATCTTTCTATAAATAAAAAAGAGAAGAAAGAGAACTGTGAAAAAATGCCTAGAAAGATGTCATTGCTAAAAGAGGCCCCCAAACAAGTATCCAATGTTTAAACACACACAGAAGACAATTTTTATTGAGCAATCTCATTTGGATCAATGATATAAATTGTTACCTCCATTGGTGGAAAATACATTCATCTTGTTTCTCATCTTATTCCTCTGAAAATGTTTTTTAAAACATTAATTAAAATTAATACTACTTTACTGATTTAAATTAATATGACTTTACGACACTGCACTGTTTTAAAAGTTTTGTGGTTTAATTTTTAAAAAGGTTTATATCAGCTGATGAAACTTTGCTGGGATACAAGAAAGCATCATAATATATGTGTAATTTTACCTTTTAGGTGTTTCCTAACGGAAAGAGAAGCTCACTATTCCAGCACCTGAGCCTGTAGGATCTTTGCCCTGCTGTCAGTGATTTGAATGCCTCTAGAAAGCAGTCTTCATGAAAAAGCTCCAATTCTACACGTTACTATGCTTAATAAACCATAGCTGCCATTATGGTAACTTACATCAAAGAAAGTTCTTCAATGGTCTAAAATAATATGTTTTAAAATGGAGCATGGGTTTACTGAACTACGACTCTAATTCTTGTAGCCAAAATTCCCTGCTGATTCTCCTTCATCTTATTTCTTCTGGAGCTAATGCTATTCTTCCACAACCACTGTGGTCTAGTACTCCGATCTTAAGCATGCAGATGTTTGTTGGCACAATATCATGCAAAAAAAGCTACTATAAAAAACATTGCTTTTGTCAGAGAACCTTAACTGAAGGAGAAGATGAACATCTGAAATAGTTCAGATCAACTTCTCACAGCTCATGTTCACAATAAAGAGTCTAACAATCTAGTCCCTCATCCCACCCCCACCCCAGGCTTTCCGCTTCCACTTGTGCCAGTCCTATTTGGAAAACCATGCGCGTTGTGCCTCGGGATTCAGCCTGCACTGTAAAATGATTTACTCTACTGCTTTCATTTGTACAGGATGCTCCCACTGAGAAACACAATGGCTTCTCACTTGCAAGGGAATCCAGCTGGCACCAGCAAAAATGGAGTGGGAAAGCAAGAAAGCAAGAGACGAAAGTTGAGAAAATTCACTGCACAATGCAGGTGACCTATTTAATAGCTAATGCAGATTGCTAAATTTGCCAAAATCAAAAGTGGAGTTGGGGAAAGACTTTTAAATGTGGAGCAGGTTGAAGGGAATGCAGAGTCATTTTATCTGAGTCTGACTAACCTAGTATGCACTCTGACTAGATTGGTTAAAGAACATTTGTTGCTACTATGCACTTTATAGAAGGCCATGAAAGACAAGGGAATTTGCAAAGTAGACATTAAACTGAACAAAAGAAAAAAGTCGTGATGAAATTAGAAACAAAACAACACTTAGGAGTCTACTTCCTAAATGCAATGCAGTTTATGAACCAATTTTTCCTATAAACTTTTGTTTCTAATGCAGTCCTGAGATAGAAGAGAAAAACAACACAAGTTCATTATTTTTCTCAAAAGTAGCAAAACTTGATTTTTGAGCCTTGTCCCAAGTTGATTAAATTAATTGATTATGAAATGAATAATGTAATAATGGACACTTTTGCTACAAATCCTGCCTTGAGTATTTTTTATACCTATACAAGCCCAATACTCAAAATGAAACAGGGAGAGGGGAAAGGTGGGGGGCACATACCATAGTCCTCCACTAAGTTTAAACTCAGCTTAGCTTCAATGACACTCACATGAAGTGAACACACACTGCAGCACAGTTCAATTTTCACTCAAAACCCTGCTCATTATTTTAACTTTAATTCTGTTTCTACCATATCAACAAACTTGCCATGACTGATGACTTGTTGATCAAGTCATTATGTACACCATTAAAAAAGACCAATATAAATTCTTCAACTTAGCTGATCAGGTTTTTTTTTTCCTTTTTCAGAGAATTCAACATGCCTCATTAGAATGTTCAAGGATGCACATTTCATGAAAAACAAATTCACATCTATAGACACCGAATTATGCTATAAAGAAACTTGCCTGTTACCTATTTTTAAAACACATACAATAAATAGGTGTTTTAATTTCACTTATGAGGAGAACAGATGACAAAATAATCCCTTCCTCCACATTATTTTGGTTTTGGGTAAAGGAGGTAGTGGTAAAGAGGTAGGTCTGCACCAATAATTTCATCAGTGTGGAAAATTTCCATTGTAGAAACTTTTCCCACCAATGTAGATCAACAATTCTCTAACTTACTGTCTGCAGTAACGAGTGTGAGTGACTTACACGTGGCCACAAACCACACAAAGATGAGAGGTAGGGTTTGACTGTTAGGCTAGGCCTTTATTTAACTATTATGCCATACCCCCTTTTTCCTATTATTGCTATGAGAACATTGAGAATACATGGAAACAAAGGCTTATATGTCATGACCTTCTTTCATTAAATACTGGGCAGACTTTACCCTAAGCAATTCAAATACAAACTTAAGACACAGAAACATTTATCCTGAATTTTGTTTCTTTAAAATATCATATTAGAGATAAATATAATCACTATCTTATTTATCTATCCACCCATTTGTCTATCTATATCTTAATCTTATCTGAAGGGTTTAACTGGAAAGCTAGATGCTCAATTTCTAAACTACCAGATTTGTTAATCCTCATTAGTCTCAATCTCTACGTAGAATGTAACTTTTTTTTTTTAAATCAAGGCAGTTTAGTGTAGTAGATACAGTACAGTGATATAATACTTGGAATCAGCATAACCTGAGTTCAAATCCTGCCTCAGATACTTACTGTGTGACCTCGAGAGCCTGTAAATTGGAGATAACTGATACCACTTATCTCACAAAGTTTTTATAATGGTTAAATTAGATATTTATATAGGGCTTTTGTTCTTATTGCTGTTATTACTGGCCATTTTATCCTCCTATATATTTTTCCTCTATGGGTTTGATGACACTGCTTTCAGTTTTTTCTTTTGCTGGAGCATCACCCATATCACACCCCTACCTACGGGAATATATTCCAAAGTTCTACATTGTACCCTCTTCTCTTCTATCCCTACTCGCTCTCTTGGTGATCTCAGCAGTTCCAATAGATTTAATTATTATGTCTACAGAGAGGAGTCACAGATCCATATATTCAGCCCTAGTTTCTTCCTACTCTTACATCACCAACTACCTCCAGAACATTTCAAACTGACATCCCAAACTCAGCATGTCTAAAACAGAACCCATCATGTACTCGCCTCTCTAAATGAAAACCTTGGTGTCCTCATTGACTCCTCATTCTCCCTTATCCCACATGATCTCAACAGTTGCCAAATATTCCCAATTTTACCTCCACAATATCTTTTCTTTCTAATTCTTTGTACTCACAGAGATACTACCTTAGTTTAGGACCTCTACCTATCTCTGGGACTACTGCATTTGCTTCCTCATTAGTCTCCCCACCTCCCCCCACTCCAATCTACCCTCCACAGAGCCACCAAAGTGATTTCTTTAGTGCACTTCTGTCACTCCCCTTCTCAATAAACTTTAATGTCTCTCTACGGCCTTTAAGTCCTAAAAACAGGATTTCTCTGTTCAGCTTTTAAAGCCCTTCACAACCTGGCCTCAACCTATCTTGCTAGCCTTATCAAAAACCCCTCCCTCTTCGATAATCCAAGGTACTGAAAAACTGGATTTCTTTCTGTTTCTCACATTTTTACTCTATCTCTTCTCTTTGCCTTTTTGTTAGACCATTAATTCTCCATCTCTGGGATGGCCTCTTTTCTTCCCTCCTATCAAAGAATTCCTAAATTCCTTCAAGATTCAGTATAAGCATCAATGACATCTTTCTTGATACTGCCAAGTGTTACTGACCTTCATGCTCAGACTAGACTGTATTTAACTACCTTGTATTTATGTCCTATTTATTTGGCATATATTAATTCTGTTTATACTAATATTTGTACCTGTTATCTCTCCCAAATAGTATGTAAATTCTTTTGAGAGCAGAGACTATTTAATTTTTGTTTTTGTATTCCCACTGTAAAAACAGTACCTTACACATACTAGGTATTTAATATACTGTTGATTGAAGGATGAAAATGAAATATCCAAGAGGAAAAAAATGCAAATTTGTCATAATGTCTCTAGTACATGATAAGAGGAGTGATAGCAGAAAAAATGTACTTTTGGGTTAGTTAGCAAATAAATTAATTTTATACAACTAAGCAATGATACCTAGGAACAATGTAAAGGCTAGGACAGACAATAAGCAGAGATTATACCCAAAAGGAAAGCAGAATCAATCCTAAATTACTTTTGTTAATAGGCTGATTTACCTTAATGATCATCTTCTGCTTTGGCAAACACTGAAATGAGTTTGTGTTCCCTGAGTATACATCACTGATGGTGGGAAAAAGTAGCCTTAACGCCTGCTAGACAGGAGGGGTTGGGCAGCTTGATAGAAAATAAAGTATATAAACTGGAGATGAGGAACAAAATGTAGAAATCAAATGCAGTTAGCTGTAAGATAAATAGAATGCTAAAAGTAGTGTTTTATCATTTATATTCAGGCAATTTTTAGAATGAGTTACTTTATTTCAATGGCCGTCTATATTGGTAGATTTATTTTTCTGATACTTAAACTACCTCAAAAGATCTGAGATTCCATCAATGTCTCAGTAGATGGTCCTTCTGTGTTGTTGTGGTCATGTGTTCTGCTGCTGTGGAAAAGTGTGGGAACCACCCAACTTGCTATCTGCTCTCTAACTTACAGCTCTAATATTCTATGAATCTCTGTAGAAGAAACAGTAAATAAATAGCCTACAGATAACTTAATTATGCAGAGCCAGGGAATAATCAACAAAAATCTTAAAAAAAGTTTTGCCATGGAGAAACTGTGGATAAACTAGAATTACCTGTGATGAGTCTTACGTATGTCTGAAGTACTTTGCCTTCACATTTAAAAAAAAATCAAATCAAATCAAATCAAATCAAATCAAATAAAAATAAAAATTGCTCTTTCTTTCACAGTTAAATCCGTAGTTTGGATTCTTATCTCCTGCCCAATCTACTTCTACCCTTTCTAGTGAAGCTTTGACTTACATAGAAAAATATTTAGGAGTGGGGTGGGGGAAAAGCCAGGTAGTCAGAAAGGCTGCTTCCCCCCTCCCCTTTTCATTCTTTACCTCCTCCTTCCCCTGTCTTCAATACTACTTCCCTATGAATGTCACTATGACACACAATGTAAATTCTCTGGCATCCTTCTAAATAATAATAACTTAATTTAAATGGCACTTCAAGGTTTCCCTAGAATCAAGGAGGTTCAATAATTTGCTCATAGTTTGAGACAAGGTTCAAATCCAGGTTATCTGACTTCAAATCCAGCACTATACACTATACTTCCCTGAATTTCCTAAAACAAATCCAAGTTCAACAAACAGTGACCTAGCATTTCCTAGTACATATGTGGATAATAAAACAGGCAGAGAGAAGAATGCAATGGAGGTGAACTGGGAAGGGAAGCAGAGGAGGGGGGTGAGGAGTAAATATATACATAACAGTACTATTAGGGGATGAGATTGTGATAGTAAATAAATATGCAAGCAACAATTTTTGAGCAAAACTGTGTTTTTCCAAGTATTCCCAAGCCTGTTATAATAACATAACTCCTGAACAGTTTTTAAACAGCTGACTTCAGATTCTCCTAAGGTTAAAGAAAGCAATAAAATATTCCAAGAATCTCCCAACATCTGCTCCTCTAGGGATAACTGGTATTTGTAATGGGTTCTAAGGAAATGCTAGAGGACTAAGGGAAATCAAATTATATGTAGTCAAAGAACCATCTGGTTTTCAAAAACAAAATGTCAGATTCTGTCCAGGGCAGTCACAGGTAGGAAGATAGATACCATTAATTCTTTCGAAGTAATTAGCACATTACTTTGTATAAACTCTACCCTAACAGCTTAAGCTAACACTCTTTCACAATATTTAGCTTACTACTACAGACTGATTTAGGAATTAGGTAAGAATAAGTCCCAGGATGTCTCTTCTGGTCATATAAATAAATAATCCTCAGTCATTTAGACAGGCAAACATACCTTTATGCCAATAGCATATTACTGTTTGCTCAATCCAAATAATAATAGCTAATAATAGGTAGCATTTATATTGTGCTTTAAAGTTTGCAAAGCACTTTACATATGTTATCTCATATGTAAACAACTCCACATACAGTATTATCTCATAGTTCCGTATCAGGTGTTTTACCAAAGACAAGAAACCTCCCCTCAAATTTCTGAACTTTCCCTAAAATAGGACAAAAAAAAAATCCCTGAGGGAAACATGACTGTGAAAAATCAGATTTTACATCTGATCTCCACAAATGCCATTAAAAATAAAAAGTCTTCTATTATTCCATTCCAAATAAACCAAAGGTAAAAAAAGTGACAAAGCAATTTAAAACATAAAAATATTCTTATTTTTCCATTAAAATACAGCAATTTTTGATAGTTAATGAGTACAAAAAAGATGACAAAAATCTCCGGATCTAAACATGTGAATTTATAAAGCAGATATTCTTAAAAGTCTACCAAATATCTTTCTTCATTATTAGCAAACAAAAAAGTTAACCACCATTTTGTTTTAGATGTTGTGGTCTTTAATTTCCTGTAAATATGCCTAGTTCTGGGGTACAGTATGGATTGATTCCCATAAAACATTCTGATTAAATAATCTTGACATTTTTCTACAAAAAACCCCAATAATTCAAAAATTACTTAGCTAAGTTGTGAAATTTATTTGTGATATCTTTGATTACCAGAATAACTGAGATAGTAAAAAGCACATATATAAACTTTACTTTACACTAGTTCATTCTTTTGAAAAACCTAAGACCTGTTTGGCACTATTTCTAAAGGCTATAGTTCAGCCAACAGGAAAAAAAAAAGGTATGACCTTATTTCCAGTCTCATATGACAATCCCAAGGTACCAGGTCTCAAAGTCAAAAGCATGCTAAATCATTTTGCCTATCTACATCACTTATTGGAAAAAATCAAAAAACACATGTAACTGATTTCTAATGAATACAAAAGTTCAATTTACTCCTGATATATGATGGAGAAATTTTACCTGAAGAATATAATACTCTAAGAGGATCATAATGTTAACAGATTTAGAAGTTATTTGAATCTTTAGGGAAAAAAGTCAAATGAAAAAAACAGAACAAAAGTGGTGGCAGAGGAGTCAATAAAAAGTCCTGAATGTCATTTCCACCCACCATGGTGACTCATGAGCTGCCCAGAAGCCTCCATACTGACATTCTGAAGGTAATTGTGGCAACGTTCCTTGTGTTCCTCCAGTGAGCTACGCTGTTTGTAGCTCCGTCCACAGTAGTTGCACTTGTGAGGTTTACCCACTGTAAAAAGAAGAGAGCTAAGCATTAGTATATCACAAGCCTCCTCTGAAGCGAAACCAGCACCTCTATTCTTTACAGCCCAGAAAAGCACTTAGAAGTGCCTTCACCATTCAAGGCTCTCCTCCCACACTGGCAAAAATATAGTGTCACTCTCTATAAATACTAAGAGAGAAAAGATAACAGTCTGTAAAATTGATGGTACCTATGGTGATGGGGAAATCCTTAATCAAGTTCACATTTTGACTAAATCCCATGCCATGACAGGCCAACAGGACACATTTTCTTTTAAATATCTGCACACTTTGTTCCCACTAGTAACCCCAGCAGTGGTCCTCTTTAGGATCTCTTACTGTGATTTGAGTCAATCCAAAGCATTTGATCATTACCTCTCCCTCCTCTAAACTCCAATGATACTTAAACTCCAGTGATACTTTATTTGTTTTCCTATTAAAGACTCAGTCTGTGTTTCATTATAGTTTCATTATATAGTGTACACACACACACACACACACACACACACACACACACATATATAATATATATTTGTAATGGATTCTAAGAAAATGCTAGAGGACTAATGGAAAATACAGCCCTCCCTCACTTAAATCCAATTCACTTGCAAGTCATAGTATCACCTTTCTGATGTCATGGTTGTCTTCAAGAACGAAGGAAAAACAACAACAACAGACAATCAGGATAAGAACATGAGGCTGATTCCAAAAGGAAATCAGCTTTACTTAGAGAACCATACCTCCAACCTGGACTAAAATTGCATTCCTAATAGCAAATTACTCATAAGGGGAACTAAGTGACTGCAAAAGATCCAGTAAAACTCACTACCCACAACTACTGGAAAAATAATTCTATGTTTATGTATCAAAACGATCTCTCATTCAAAACGCTGAGAAAATTTCAATCATATATCCAAATAATTTTACATTGTTTTTGTCATGGTATCACAAATTTTATACATACATGGTAAAAATTAAAATACAGTTCATTCTTTTCTAGGTCTTAAAGGTGTTACTTTATCATTTTAATCTTTAAATGCTAAATATGTAGGAAAATTACAGAGGAAGAACATAATTTCAACACAAAGAGACTGGTACTGATATCTGCACGAAAATCAGGCTATATGGGATTTTTTCAAAAAGCTACAGTGCATACTAAAATTGTTTCACAATTAAAATGTAGTTATAAATATTTTTCACAAATGCTACATGAAGCATAATTAATCTTTTTTTTTAAAGATGCTAATAGTCTTAGAAGGCAAAGACCCTGAAAATAAGGATCATTTCTCTGTAAATTGTGAATATTGCACAACAAATAAGTAATATTTAATGATATTTCTGTTCAAAATTCGTAGGACATCATAACTATATTCCATGACAATGTATCTCTGTACTGATACTGTTCTTCCAGAGTGCCCACAACATGCAATCTACCCACATCTCATCTATTCCTCATGGGAACCAACAGTATTTGTGTACACAATAGCTAGATAAGGTTTAGGAACCTCCACCAGGATGAAATTAATGGCATTCTAATTCACATTTATATAAGGCATTACCCTCCTAAGAACCTTGTAAGACAGGTAAAACTATACATCACCCCTATTTTTTAGTTAAAGAAACTGAGGCTTGCACAAAGCAAGAGACTCATCCATTACCACATGTCTGAGGTAGCTAAGTGGTACTGTGGACAGAGCTCTGGGCATGTAGGCAAGAAGACCAGAGCTCAAATCCAGCCTCAGGCACTTACTAACTATGTAACCCTGAGCAAATCACTTAGCCTGTTTGCCTCAGACTCTTCAGCTATAAATAGGGATAATAAAAACACCTACCTTGCAGGGTTGTTACGAGGATTAAATGACATAATACTTGAAAAGTGCTTTAGCACAGTGCTAATAGGCACTATGGAAACAGTTATTCCCTTCGTTCCCCTCCCCCCCCCCCCCGTCCCTGCCCCATTAATGGCAAAATTTTAGAACGGTCTTCCCAGTCTTGAGTCTACTTGCCTTTTGTGAGTACAATAATCCTTAATACTAAGTTACTTCAAAAAATCAACATGCAGTCACCTAAAATGCACATGATAGCATTTCTATCACAAAATTTTTCTTACTATACTGATACAAACTATAATTAAGAATATTTCTTTAAACAGAATCATTCTCTTCTGTTCAAGGCCCAGATGAGGTGCTTAAAAATCTCTTTTAGAGTTTACATGTTTTTTTTTTTTCTGGGAGATTAAAATCATTGGATATTCAAGGAATTATCAGTAAGTAACCAATGAGGGGGGCACATAGCACTGCCTGAAAAAAAAAAAACTAGGACATCATCCTCTGATCACCTCTCAAATTTCCAAAGGTTTTGTTTTGGTTTTTGTCAGTGTATGTATTTTAACTTGTAAATAAATGAGTTATTCCATTTGGACTGGAACCAGATCACAAACTGCAAAACCAGTTCTACTTTTGTGTAAAAAGAGGGGAAAGATTGTTAAAGAAATAAAAAGTGGAGAAAAAAATAGTAGAAATGTTTGTAAGCCAAAAGGAGAATTTAAGAAAATTTCTAAAGTGATTACGCTAACAATCTATCAGATAATTATGAGAATGTAATTACAATTTAATTTTTTAACCTCTTCTTAGACCTGTCTGTAGTAAAAGTTTCTATACCCCAGGTTTTTTATCTTTATGATACAATACAACTAATGGTGGTTTATGAGTCTAATGTATACTTTTGTCTGAAACTATACAACTGGCTAAAATAATGGAAGGGGAAAATGACAAATGTTGGAGAGCATGTGGAAAACTAATGGAAGGGGAAAATGACAAATGTTGGAGAGCATGTGGGGAAAAAAATAACAATGTTAGTGGAATTGACGCAACCATTTTGGAGAGTAATCTGGAATTACGCCCAAAGAGTTATAAAACTGTGTATGCTCTTTGATCCAGCAAAACCACTATTAGGTCTGTTTCCCAAGGTAATCCAGGAAAAAAGGAAAAGAACCTATATATTCTAAAATATTTATAGCAGCTCTCTTCGTGGTAGCAAGCAAAGAACTGGAATTTGAGGAATGTCTATCAACTGGGGAATGGCTAATCAAGTTGTGGTATATGATTGTGCTGTAAGAAATGATGATCAGGTTGATTTTAGAGAAACAATGAAAGCTTTGCAAGAAATACTGAAGAGGGAAATCAATAGAACCAAGAAAACACTGTAGGCAGTAATAGCAATATTGTCCAAAGAATAACTGTGACTGACTAAGCTATACTATTATAAATATTCAAATCAACTACAAAAAACTAAACTTTTAATGTGAAGAAATATCTTCTTAATTTAATTAGATGAGGAAACAGAGACCAAGTGACTTGCCCCAAGGTAATATGTGGTGAACCATTCTATATATATTTTTACTGTCTCTAAGTCAAGCATATATATATCACTTCTTATGTTTACAGTGTCAAACAGAGAGAAGGAACATACACATTTTACAAAGGAGAAAGGTCAGGTCCAGTCAAACTATCACCTATTAAAGTGATTTTTAGTTGGGAGTGATCGGGACCCAAGCCTCTGTTTTTGATTTGCTAAATTTCAGAAGTCTTGGGTTAAACTTATAATCTATCACTAGCCTTTATACAAAAGATAATTATGTATGTCAGCTGCAGCAAAAATGGTTTAGTTTCAATATAAAACTCTTTCTATTCTTCAATTTCACTTTCCATCAATTCTGCTCTGGCTGTATCCACATTTTTTATTTGTTCAGAAACAGCTCAAAACTAACAAATCTTAATCTAGTTCAAGATATTTCACTTAATAAAATTTCAATCAGGTCCCTAAGTCCTGCTTGCTGAATCTTTATTTATTTATTTTTTGTGGAAAGGAGGAGGGTTGGAAAAAGCTTATATAAGAAATCATAGTTTTCAAAGTAAAGCAACAATTTCTACTTGTAGAATAAAAAATGTCTTACCAGAAAGCTAAATATAAATGTTATTGGTTCTAACAGTATATACCATTAGCTCACAGCTTGAATTATTCAACCCCCTTCCTGACTATTATGTTTGAGGGATGCTACTGTACATGAAAGGAGAAAAAAACCAGAGTTGAAAAAGGTATAGTTTTATAGGTGCTGTTCCTCACTTGGAAGATTCTAATAAGGATGGGAAGGAAGAAGAAAGCACTACCATGGAGGAGAAAGCAGAATTCTCTCTTTTGAAAAGAAGCAGGTATGTTACATTAAAACAAGGACGGCTCTGAGTGAGGCAGGGTTACAGATGAATGGATTCAACCTGTACACTTGCCTTCTTTCTCCTACAAATAAACTGAGAATTTTACTAACTCTATTTATGAAGACCAAACCAGCTTCCATAATTACTTCTATTTCCTAATGACTTAGGCTATTCCACTTATAGTCTATCTCCTAATAACTTAAGATAGTACACTGGAAGAGAGGTAAAGAATCTTAATGACACAATTCATTCTCTAAATTATCTAATTTCTTCAGAGAAAGGCTTATTTTGCTATGTAACTAATATAATACAAACACATTCCAATCCTTATTTCTTTAATGTGGAAAAAATAAGTATAATTAATGTGGGCTATAACAAATTATACACGTGCACATTCCTATTTTAATTCACTTAAATAGTAGATATTTAATACCCTAGTTTTCAAAGTTTCAATACCAGGCTAATTCAGGAGCCTTCAAAACAGTTCCTATAAACTGTTTAACTTCAATTCTAAGATGATATATTAAAATATTAATAGGGCAAGATCACTCAGATAGGAGAGAGCACCGTAAACGATTTAAACAGTCAGGGCCATTGTCACATGTAGTCTATATATATGATCTCCTCTAGATAGTCATTGGTTCGTTTGAATTAAAAACATAAACAATTGGAAAAACAAATAAATACACAGTAAAAATTATGGAAACATAGAGCCAAAAGTGACATTCAGGTAATTTAGACTCTTCCCTCCCCCTCTCCCTTTTATCAAATCAGT